AAATGATGTAGAACTTAGCCATACAGATTGCAAAAAGGACTTGGGGGTTATGGTGAGCAGCAACCTTAAACCAAGACAGCAATGTCTAAGCGTACGTAATAAGGCAAATAGATTACTGGGATTTATATCAAGAAGTGTAAGCAACAGAAGTCCAGAGGTCATACTGCAGCTTTATACATCATTAGTAAGGCCTCACCTAGATTATGCAGCTCAGTTCTGGTCTCCATATTACAGAATGGACATAAATTCGTCAGAAAACATTCAGCGTAGGATGACTAAATTAATACATAGCATTAGAAATCTTCCTTATGAAGAAAGATTGAAGACTCTTAAGTTACATTCACTTGTAAGACGAAGAATGAGGGGAGACCTGATCGAAGTGTATAAGTGGAAGATAGGTATTAATAAAGGGGATATTAATAAGGTCTTGAGGATGTCTCTCCAAAAGAGAACCCGCAGTAATGGATTTAAATTAGATAAGTTTAGATTTAGAAAGGACATAGGAAAGTATTGGTTTGGAAATAGGGTAGTTGATGAGTGGAACAGTCTACCTAGTTGGGTTATTGAGGCTAGGACTTTGGGTAGTTTCAAATTTAGGTTGGATAAGTACATGAGTGGGAGGGGTTGGATTTGAGAGAGACTTGCACATCGGAGCTTGTTTCTTGGGTGGCATTGAAAATTGGGTTGGTCAAATGTTTGTTAGTGGGATAAATTGTAAAGGACGTGCCTAGTATGGGCCAACAGACCTGCTGCAGTGTTCCTCCTTTCTTATGTAAACCTCTCCTTTTCTTCAGGATCCGTGCAGTGTGCTTTAATAAGAACACAAAGAACTGTTACTGCCTCTTTGTGTTGAGGTTTACAGTACCACTGACGTCTTATGCCGTACCGAACCCGGCCTTCCGGTGTTCGGGAAGGCTTTTAGAACAGCTAAATAAGTTTATTTAGGTACAGGTACACATAAGCACAAATATCATAGCGTAAATTACTTAGGATAACCCAAAAAAAGGTTAGACAAAATGACTATTGGGAGCCACAAAAGATTACGCTTCATTGTTCCATGCCTCCCGGGAGTTCGGGAAAAATATTTCACCATAATCCGGGCTGGAATTGAAGAAGAAATAAAGTTCCCCCTCTAAAAACAGAAATGGAAACTATAAGTTTCCAATTAAATCCGGTGGACCACCTTGTCTCAACCCTGGCAGGTGATAGTATCCTCGGCTAACATACTGAGTGGACAGGGTTCGCTCCCCGGCACGGATAACAAACCCAGAAATAAGACCAACATTCGTCCGATGACGTACGGATTTTATTGGGTTAACTTGAGTTAGTAGCCTCTGGGTTAAAAATCCGAACAAAAGCTTATCACTCATACACCAACCTCCTGAATCAACAACAACAGGTGTTTTTATGGCCTACAGCAGGGAACATTCGTCACTGATGATCAAAGGCAGAGGGAGAGTGAGGCTTCCACACATCACAAAGGAAAGCCCATGAAAATCTTACTACAAGTGAAATGCAAAGAAGCTGTAATGAGTGACAACTAACTCAGAACATCCATGAGAAATAAAAAAGGGCGGCGTTCTGGTCCGTCCTAGACTAATGTCAAAGTTCACTTACTTAAGAGTGTCACAGGACGGACCGGAGCGCTGTCTAGTTTCATCCACAATTTGGGTATTACAGTGGCACAGCCAGGATTTTTGGTGCCCCGGGTGAGGTATTCCCTGTAACTGTCAACATACTATTTGTTGGATGTGAACCTCGCACTCGAAAATCACCAACATTATATCCGTTAGATCAGGGATGGCCAACCAATGGCGCATTGCATGATTAGAAGTGGTGCATTGCAACCCAGTGATAATAAAAAAGCAAGCCTACTTATACAAAATGTATTAACCAATAACCGATTTATAGAAAAAAATCATAACAGAAATTTAAGTAACTTATAGTTAGAAATGAGTTTTATTGACCAAGAGTATACCTGGAGAGGGTTTCGGGGGTCAACGCCCCCGCGGCCCGGTCTGTGACCAGGCCTCTTGGTGGATCAGGGCCTGGTCAACCAGGCTGTTACTGCTGGTCAGGTACTGACTTTAGGTGCCTGTCCAACGACTTCTTGAAGACAGCCAGGGGTCTATTGGTAATCCCCTTTATGTATGCTGGGAGGAAGTTGAACAGTCTAGAGCCCCTCACACTTATTGTGTTGTCCGTTATCGTGCTAGTGGCGCCCCTGCTTTTCATTAAGGGGATGTTGCATCGTCTGCCGAGTCTTTTGCTTTCACATAGGGAGTGATTTTCGAGTGCAAGTTTGGTACTAGTCCCTCTAGGATTTTCCAAGTGTATATAATCATGTATCTCTCCCGCCTGCATTCCAGGGAATACAGGTTTAGGAACCTCAAGCGTTCCCAGTAATTGAGGTGTTTTATCGCAATTATGTGTGCCGTGAAGGTTCTCTGTACATTTTCTAGGTAAGCAATTTCACCTGCCTTGAAAGATGCTGTTAGTGTGCAGCAATATTCCAGCCTAGATAGAACAAGAGTGTCATCATGGGCTTGGCATCCATAGTTTTGAAGGTTCTCATTACCCATCCTGTCATTTTTTTAGCAGATTTTTAGCAGGAACAGCTGTTAAAAATTGACCACTGTCTGGAAAATCTTCCAGCTCCTGCACCCAACATCTTGCTCCTGGGGGATTTCAACTTAAGGCACCTAAAATGGAGGAATATATCAAATAATATTGTTGCAGTAATAACACCAGGAGGCAGCTCTGATGAAAACTCACACTCACACGAGCTTTTAAATCTCTGCACAAAATTCAATTTAAACCAGCAAATAATAGAGCCTACTAGACTGGAGAATACACTAGACCTCATCTTCACTAACAATGATGATCTGATAAGAAATGCCACCATATCAAAAACAATATACTCAGATCACAACATAATTGAGGTTCAGACATGTATGCGTGGAGCCCCAGACCGACATAATGAGACTAGTCACGAGGGAGCATTCACCAAATTCAACTTCAATAACAAAAACATAAAGTGGGACCAAGTAAACCAAGTCCTAACCGATATAAGCTGGGAAGATATACTAAGCAACACAGACCCCAACGTATGCCTAGAACAGATTAACTTGGTGGCACTCGATGTTTGCACAAGGCTTATTCCTCTAAGAAAAAGGAGGAGTAGATGTAAAATAGAAAGAGACAGGCGCTCCCTTTACAGGCGACGGAAAAGAATAACAGAGCGGCTAAAAGAGGTCAATATATCTGAAATGCGTAGGGAGACACTGGTCAGAGAAATAGCAAGCATCGAACTTAAGCTAAAAGAATCCTTTAGGAGTCAGGAATCGCGGGAAGAACTAAAAGCCATAAATGAAATCGAAAGAAACCCAAAGTATTTCTTCTCCTATGCCAAATCAAAATCGAGAACAACGTCCAGTATTAGGCCCCTACTTAAACAAGATTCAAATTCAAATTCAATTCAAATTCAAATTCAAAGTTTATTCTCTATAAGGATTACAATGCTGAGTTTACAGGAATTTGGTTATTGTTTGCTTTACATGTAGTAAAATTGTGATTACAGAGTGTACCACTAGAACGCTTAGCATGGCTAGGCATTTCGGGCATACTTAGTTTTATTCTTAATTGTAAAATATTACAAATTATGAGGTAAGTTGGTATTATGGCTAAGTGACTAAATACTAGTTTGTGAGTTTAGCAATGTGAATGCTTTTGTTTTGGCACAGTACATAGTTTCAGTATTGGAGTATCACAGGATTCATTATTTTAAGACTGAGATTAATATTTCTGTTTATGGTCAAATGAGTGAGTGAGTGTAAGTGTGAACCACCAGGTGGTATTCGTGTAGTTAGTTGATGGGTCCTACACAGATGACAGCAAGGAAATGAGTGAGCTACTCAAGTCCCAGTATGACTCAGTTTTTAGCAAGCCGATAACCAGACTGAGAGTCGAAGATCAAAATGAATTTTTATGAGAGAGCCACAAAATCTGATTAACACAAGCCTATCCGATGTTATCCTGACGCAAAATGACTTCGAACAGGCGATAAATGACATGCTCATGCACTCTGCCCCAGGGCCAGACTCATGGAACTCTGTGTTCATCAAGAACTGCAAGAAGCCCCTATCACGAGCCTTTTCCATCCTATGGAGAGGGAGCATGGACACGGGGGTCGTCCCACAGTTACTAAAAACAACAGACATAGCCCCACTCCACAAAGGGGGCAGTAAAGCAACAGCAAAGAACTACAGACCAATAGCACTAACATCCATATCATAAAAATCTTTGAAAGGGTCCTAAGAAGCAAGATCACCACCCATCTAGAAACCCATCAGTTACACAACCCAGGGCAACATGGGTTTAGAACAGGTCGCTCCTGTCTGTCTTAACTATTGGATCACTACGACAAGGTCCTAAATGCACTAGAAGACAAAAAGAATGCAGATGTAAATATACAGACTTTGCAAAAGCCTTCGACAAGTGTGACCATGGCGTAATAGCGCACAAAATGCGTGCTAAAGGAATAACAGGAAAAGTCGGTCGATGGATCTATAATTTCCTCACTAACAGAACACAGAGAGTAGTCGTCAACAGAGTAAAGTCCGAGGCAGCTACGGTGAAAAGCTCTGTTCCACAAGGCACAGTACTCGCTCCCATCTTATTCCTCATCCTCACATCCGACATAGACAAGGATGTTAGCCACAGCACCGTGTCTTCCTTTGCAGATGACACCCGAATCTGCATGACAGTGTCTTCCATTGCAGACACTGCAAGGCTTCAGGCGGACATCAACCAAATCTTTCAGTGGGCTGCAGAAAACAATATGAAGTTCAACGATGAGAAATTTCAATTACTCAGATATGGTAAACATGAGGAAATTAAATCTTCATCAGAGTACAAAACAAATTCTGGCCACAAAATAGAGCGAAACACCAACGTCAAAGACCTGGGAGTGATCATGTCGGAGGATCTCACCTTCAAGGTGGTCTGGTGGCTAAAGCTCCCGCTTCACACACGGAGGGCCCGGGTTCGATTCCCGGCGGGTGGAAATTCCGACACGTTTCCTTACACCTATTGTCCTGTTCACCTAGCAGCAAATAGGTACCTGGGTGTTAGTCGACTGGTGTGGGTCGCATCCTGGGGGACAAGATTAAGGACCCCAATGGAAATAAGTTAGACAGTCCTCGATGACGAACTGACTTTCTTGGGTTATCCTGGGTGGCTAACCCTCCGGGGTTAAAAATCCGAAAGAAATCTTATCTTATCTTATCAATCGCATCTGCTAGAAAAATGACAGGATGGATAATGAGAACCTTCAAAACTATGGAGGCCAAGCCCATGATGACACTCTTCAGGTCACTTGTTCTATCTAGGCTGGAATATTGCTGCACACTAACAGCACCTTTCAAGGCAGGTGAAATTGCCGACCTAGAAAATGTACAGAGAACTTTCACGGCGCGCATAACGGAGATAAAACACCTCAATTACTGGGAGCGCTTGAGGTTCCTAAACCTGTATTCCCTGGAACGCAGGAGGGAGAGATACATGATTATATACACCTGGAAAATCCTAGAGGGACTAGTACCGAACTTGCACACGAAAATCACTCACTACGAAAGCAAAAGACTTGGCAGACGATGCACCATTCCCCCCAATGAAAAGCAGGGGTGTCACTAGCACGTTAAGAGACCATACAATAAGTGTCAGGGGCCCGAGACTGTTCAACTGCCTCCCAGCACACATAAGGGGGATTACCAACAGACCCCTGGCAGTCTTCAAGCTGGCACTGGACAAGCACCTAAAGTCAGTTCCTGATCAGCCGGGCTGTGGCTCGTACGTTGGTTTGGGTGCAGCCAGCAGCAACAGCCTGGTTGATCAGGCTCTGATCCACCAGGAGGCCTGGTCACAGACCGGGCCGCGGGGGCGTTGACCCCCGGAACTCTCTCCAGGTAAACTCCAGATACTATCGCATCTGCTAGAAGGTAAGACCGTCTGACATTATCACTCCCAGGTCTTTTACGTTAGTTTTTCGTTCTATTGTGTGTCTGGAATTTGTTTTTTTACTCCGATATAGTTTTAATTTCCTCACGTTTTCCATATCGGAGTAATTGAAATTTCTCATCATTGAACTTCATATTGTTTTCTGCGGCCCATTAAAGATTTGGTTGATGTCAGCTTGGAGTCTTGCAGTGTCTTCAGTGGAAGACACTGTCATTCAAATTTGGGCAGCTGGGACAGGCAGGAGCGACTTGCTTTGAGAATAAATCTAAAACTTAGCTATCATTTTAAGTCATTTTATTACTTTATGAACATCTTTTAACGAATGTCATCTTTCATATTAATATTTTATCAATTAAAAAAATATTCAGTGAGTAAGATTAGGAACGAATTGCAGTGAACACCCACACCGCATCTATGAGTTACTATATATTCACTACACATAGTGTTCTGCCCTTATCAGGGACATTACACAAAAAGGGACTTTTGTACAATTGTCCCATAAATGTATACATTTGATACTTGTTTGATCTTGAGGTGCCAGGCACCAGCAGTAGTTGTAGTGCGTCACACGATTTTACCAGTCACTTTACAATAGACACTCATGTGGTAGAGCTGAGCTGAGCTCTTTGTGAACAATTAAGTGTTTGCACTTTTCGAAACCTAAGCTCTACTCTTTCAGTCAGTTACATATCACAGTGCAAAAGAAAAACAGAAAGTGATAATAAGCGTCAATTTAATGAACAGTAGGAAAATGAGTTCTTATATATTGCAGGTCCATCAGGAAACCGTTGTGCTTGTGAAGACACTCTCAGATAATAGAAGACATGATCTTAATAGACACTAAAAAACATCAGGCTGAAATAGAAGAAAAACTGAAGTTAGTACTTGGGTCTGAGTTACGGAAAGAGTACGTGATTCAAAGAAAGGATGAAGAAAAAAGAAGATAAAATGTATTTGTTAAATGAAGTTGCGAAAGTTTGGCGATGACGGAAGCGTCCTACAAAATTGCCGTTGCGTTATACCTGGAATATACCTGGTATACTGGCTAAAAAAAACGAAAGCCTTTCTCTGATGGTGAAGAAATTGCCTCCAAATATTTGCAAGATGTCTTGGTGATAAAAATACTTAAAGAAAAGTAGAGAAAATCGCTCTGTCAAAGCAAACAGTTACAAGATGCATCAAAACACGTTTCCATGATGTATCTGAGCAATTAAAAGACCTTGCCCATGCTTGTATTTTTTCTTTAGCTTAGGACGAATCTGCTGACATATGTGGTGTAGCCCAGTTAAGCAGTTTTATAAGAGGAATCAATGATAATTTTAATATCTTTGAAGAACTTATCGATCTTGAGTCACTTCATGGAAAAATAAAAGGATCAGGCATATTTGACAAAGTAAAGTTATGCCTAGAAAATCTGCAACTAGTTTCTAGTAAACTCATCAGTGTTTGTATTGACGGAGCACCGTCAGTGATATGTAAAGC